TGGGCCGGTAAAAAAAAAAAGCTCTAGTGGACCTCTGATATTTTCGTTGATTGGAGCACGTCCCTTTTCAATGGGGAGGGACGGGGAATGTTGGGAATACATTGACTTTATTCATTTTTATTCACTTCACGTGAGCATTACAATTATGTGTCATTCCTTTTGCGGCCAGCAAAGTTGGTTTCTTCAATAAAAGCTCGATCTATCCAATCATCGATGACCCATGGCGTGCGAATCATTAAATAATTAATTTCGTGCATTACAATTGACTTTACCGTGAAAGCGATAGCTTTTAGAACACGCCATCTGCCTTAACTATAAAGCAGCATTTTCTAAAGTTTTCCTTTCAAGCCGGCATGGGCAACCGTCGACCCGCGATCCGTACTGAAATCGGCATGCTATGTTTAAATTTACGTTTCAAATTAGTCAATTTTTCTTGCAAATGGCAACGCTGCAAACAAATAGCACCTATAGTACGTGAAATGTGCTTAACTGTTTTGTTTCCGCTTACTACGCCATAAAATGAAGGATCGAAAACGAAGGAAAACTAATGGAGATTAACCGCATTATTGATAACACTTGGAACTTGAAATATTTATTTACAAATACACAAGATGAGACTGTAAAAGCGTGAAAATTTGAAAGCAATTCTACGAATAGTTTGGAATAGACCTTCAACCCAATTATGAGGTAATTATAAATTAGGAACATTCACACTAACACTTGCGTAATATGTTACATGACAAAAACAACAACAACAACATTAACAAAATTTCATCCTTTTGTTAGTCTCTCCAGTTAGGCTCGTTTTGCTCTCTCACCGTGATATGGAAATAAAAATCGGCCCATTGGTGAAAAGGGTTGCATACCGCCGTAACGCATTTTCTTCATTTTTCTCGTCGACATTCGATTCAAGTTGAAATCTACGCAAATTATTTTCACGCAGAATATTTATTCCAAGAACAAATTGACTTTGGCTAATGAAATCTCAGATGCCTGTAAACCTAAGCGTAATGGTGACTAACTATATTCACTTTACAAGTTGAGAAATCAGCTGTTTTTGTTTAAAATAAACGTAACGGTCATCGGTGTGACAGAGAAAATCTCCTTAATCCGTGTGCTACTAAGGCCACGTTCTTCCCTTTTTTTTGATACGCAGAACGACTAAATTTATGTTAATAAATCGTTGAAAGACGTTCGTCACGATATATGTAACGTCGCGCTGCGATAGGCAAACGGCTGTATCGGATGGTAGCGGACGAGTTAATAAATATTTAGAAAACTATATCCCTTCTTTATAGCATTTGCAAATTTCTGGAATTGATGATCTCTTAACCTCAATTAAAAACATTAATGGTTATATTAACTAATGCATGTGAATTTTTACGCTACGCTACGTAAGCAAACGTAAGATGCATCAAATAGCAACGAGAATTTTTAAATGATTCATGTCTCGTCGTCATTCATGCATATAATCTACTCTATCGCATATATAATATATATAGGTCAGGAATTTTTTTTTATAGATTTCTATCTCTTAACATGGAGATTAGACGAATTAATGGAATAATCAACGAAAATTTGCATTAAACAAGAGAATTTCTATACGGTGTATGCCCCCACCCATAGCTGGGCCAAAAATGAATGAGAAAACGATTTACTTTTTCAACAATCCTTAGTAGAGGATGCCAGTCCAATACATGCTTTCTCGGACATTTTTCTTACGTCTCAAGCCCAAGACTATCTTATGGAAGACAACGTTTCTGAAGAAAAGAAAAGCGAGGACTGCGATTGACGTTAAGATGAAGGAGCAAGAAGGACCTCCTCGTCGACATGTCTAAATTAGGGAAATGCGCTCACAAAAGTATATCGAAGGGCCCTGCTGCCTATTGAGAAAGCAATTCAAACTTTTTTCTTTTTTGGATATTGAGTTAAGATGGACCAAGCCAATAAAAACAATTCGAGTTTTTAGGAAAAATGGAAAAAGTCTTAATCTTCGAATTTCGAATTAGTTTCAATGACTTACGAACTGAATTCAATTCTTCGATTCAGTGCAGATTTCGCTTTCAAACTAAATGCAACACTTCGGACTAGCGTCAGTGACTTTCAAATTAATTCGTCTCTCGAACTAATTCGAATCTATTCAAATGACTTCCGAACTTCGGATTCAATTGTTCAAATTAGTTTCAATGACTTTCGAACTGAATTCAAATCCTTAATTCACAGCTCAGCTTTACATAGCTCCCGTTCTAAATTCGATTCTTCGAATCCATTTAAATGGATTTCGCAAACTAAATTGTGTTTTTCGGTTCAATTTAAGTCAAGTTTCCAACTAAATTAGAGTCGTTTATCTAGTTCAGCGGAGTTTCGAACTAAATTCGATTCTTTGAATCAATTTAAACCCTTGTCGAACATTCGTCCTCCATTCTTCGAGTGAATCTAGATTGCTGCATCAAATTGCTGTTTAGAGAGTCAGTTTCCAAATAAATTAGAACCGTTTATCTAATTAAGCTGAGTTTCGAAATAAATTCGATTTTCCGAATCCATGATCCATCGATCCAATTTAAACTAAATTTCCAATTAAATTACAATTCTTCGTCTAATTTAACTGACATTCGAACTAAATACAACCCCTTGAACCATGTTCAGGTTTTCGGATCAAATCAGATTATGCTTTGAAACGCTTTGGATGATTTCCGATCTAAATTCAGTGTCTTAGTCCCGAGTTAGTTCTTTCAGAACTACATTAAAAACCTTCAGCGAATCTAACTGATTTTTCGTAGGGAAATTGTGAGCCCATTATTCTCACGTTCAGCACTTGATCCGCAACTGCATTGATTTGATGTGGAAAAATATCAAAAATGAGTTTCGAAAAATGTTTTCAAATATTCTAAAGATCGATTAATGGAATATTTTATTAGATTCAAGACCCAAATGAAATTTTCTCTTATATGAAACAATCTAAAACGCAAAAAGAAAATAGAGCCAAACAAATGACAATGAAAAGAACAATATAAAAATATAGATATATTTATATATATGTATATGATATATAAATGGAATATTGCAGAGCATATATATATATATATGTATATATGCATAGCAGGCATGATTTAATTAAAAATGACAAATGTGTGCGAAAAGTGCAAAAACCTACATGTAACCGAAAATGTAGGCTTTGAAAACAACAAGAACAATAACAACAACAACATAACGACGACAATAGAAATTAATAATAATTTTTTTTTTAGGCCAATGGCAACTAACTTAAATGCAATACAACCACAATAAGGGAATATGATGAGATGTGAAGAAATCATACCTGAGCATGGGGAGAAGAGGAAAGTGATAAATTGCAGACATCTTCAACGAGGTCGGCTTGATTAAGATTATCATTAATTTCGATTAATAATTGTTCGATAGTTTGCGACGTTTTACACTCAGTAACAGTTGCTTTTTCTATCGCCGGCGACGACGACGAAATATTCTCACTATTCGTGTGTGGGATATCAAAATTCATATTTAATGAATTCAATTGCCTAAAGTCATCATAATCCAGTAATTTATTCGTTATAGCTAGGAACTCGGATATTTGGCCATGATACGATGAACTTAACGAGGAACGGCGAACCGGTGTCGTTGACGTAGGTGTTGTATTATTGCTAAGCGTTCGATTTTCCGATAATGGAGAAGATTCCTTTCGAGAATTCGGAGGAGATTCACATGGAGCACGTTCTGCAACCCGATCCCCTTTCATTTTCGATAAAGACAATGAAACGCTGTTCGACGACGACGATGATGGTGGTGGTGGTGGTGGTGGTGCTGTAGACACTTTGGCCGTTGTTTCCGTAGCTTCATTTAAAACTAAACTTAAGGGACGTTTGATAAAATTAGGTAAAAAATCCATAATGATTCACGTTAGGTCTGAAGCAGATCCACAAAATCCACCTAACGACGTGACTGATGAAAGCGATATCAATCGATTACGCCAAAGCTTAATAAACAATCTCTTTGGGGGGAGCGACTTTTTTTTTTTTTTGTTCTTTTCGATTCGAAACTTGACCTTTTAATTGTTTCACGTTTAATTGCGGCCTTTATCGCCTTTAAAAAACTTTTCAATATTTTTTTTTCTCTTAATTCATCATAAAAAAAAGGAATAGAAAAAAAGTCACGTAATTGTTAAATGAAGAATAATGAAATGCCTTCTTTCTCCGAAAATTATATTTTCAATATATTTTTTTATCGAAAGCAGACAGTTCGGAAAAATTAAAAACAAAAAAAAAAACTACTACTTGTTTTTTTTCTTTTCTTTTTTGCTTTACTTTTAACGTTTTTTTTCTTTTTTTTTTTAGTTTAATTATTTTTATTTATTTTTATTTTTTAATTTTTTCTTATCTTTGTTTGCGGCGCCCGTTACAGTGTTTTCACATTCGCGTTTCTCTCTTTAGTAGCATTTGATTTGATTTGATATTTCATACAAAGCATTATTTTGTTGTTTGAAAATTTCTTCGTGATAGCGCGCGCCGCTTATGTACAAGTGTTTGGCGTGCGAGGCTGCTTAAGTTTTTCTCACACGATCTGCTTTACTTTATAAATTTTGTCTTTCAAACTTTTTCTCTTGTTGTTGTCAATGAATAATGATAGGGGGCAGTATGTGCCGAGCATGATCACAACCGCAGGCAACATAAGGCCGCAGGGCGCCTTTTTAACTAAATAATATGAAAAAAAATTTGCCTCTTATGGGTATTGAGAAAATTCCTTAGGTTTATGTATGTGCATATGTGTATATGTACATCTTATATCTTGTAACTATTTCAAGTCGTTACATACTTGACTCGACTTGACAATACATATTATACCCTACACTACTTGCGGTACGGGATATATTAAGTTTGTGGTCAAAGCTTCAAATAGACTGACCCTTCATTAAACCAAAATCGATTCAGAAAATTATTCCAAATTTGTGTGTCCGTCTGTCTGTCTGTCCATATAATGTTTGCACATGTATTCTTGTGTTCAATAATTTAAACCGAAAATTTTTGAAATGTTTTGATGAATGCTTTACTCAAAGAGCAATGGAAATGGTTCGGATCGGATCAATTTTTTCACCACTTTCTATATAATGCATTATTTTACGCAGTCGTTATATTCAAAAACATTGCAATTTTCAAAATTCCTCGACAAAAATCATTGAGTAATGGTACTTCCACATTCCGAATTAGTACGGAAAACTTGGTTTGACTGGGACAATTTTTTGAACGAAAATATTCAAATTTTTAATATTTTATGGCAACAGTTGAGAGTACCCAATATAAATTGGTCTAGTTTTTAGGCACCTACACATAGAGTTTAGAAAAGCTATATCTGACCTAGTAGCCTTGAACGAACGAAAAGTGAAAAATATTAGATCATATAAAAAGTCTTTGCGGTTTTCTCTGCGACATGGTGTTAATGCCTATATATTTTGCAACACTCACCCGATTATCTTAAGTGAACATGTGCTTAAAAGGTGACATTTCAAGTTAAATTTTTCGCTCAGACAGTTTCCTAATTCTTTGCTCTTGAAAAAAGTTATATTGACTTGAAAATGAGTTAAGAAATTCGTTATGCTTCGATGCTTAAAAGCTGCAAGAAAATATATATATATATATGAAGTGTACGGTGGAAATGCAGTGAGTGATCGAAGGACCCAGAAATGGGTTGCTCGATTGTGTGCTGGAAACCTCTATATCAACGATATACCTCGCTTTATGAAATTTGGCAACAGGTGGAGTAAGATCGACACGGACGTACTAGACATTGCCCGCATAACACTTTGGAATTATTTGAAAAGAGCCGGCTACAAAAGAAAGCTCGAAACCGTGAAAAAATTGCGAACACTTTTTATATACAAAGGTGCATCGTTTTTTTCTAGGACGCGCCCACTTTTCTTTTTCTAGACACACCAGATAGGTATGTAACAAAACCTATTCGTATAGCCCATCTGTCAACTTAAGACATTCACTCAAATTTAATGCTGATAATCCGTCGATTCCGACAAATATCATTCACATTTTTTTAACCGCATTTATGTCAAATCTGTGCCTGATATTGCAAGCACGTATTCATTGAGATCTCTAACAGGCATGCGGGCGGCTTTGAAGATATTCGGAAAGTGGGAGAAATAAACGAAACAAAAGCTCCTCGCAAAGCTAACGTGTATAGTTTCGGAGACCATAAGCGAAGATCGTACCCTCATCTTACAGTGATGGGTATAAAAATGAGTCAAAACAGTGATTGCTACACACTATCGCCATTTCTTTGCATTTCACATAATTTAGAAGACTTTTTCAAACGAAAAAAGCATTCCATGTTCCGGATTCAATTGTGAAGGGACAGCGTTTGTATTATGAATTTCGACCATTTAGTGCTCAGCAAATCTTATTAAGACTTGCGTAGTGTGTTGTGATTGGTTCACTACGTAGTTTGGCTTAGACATGGGTTGTTAATGATTCTGCTTGTAAGGGAACAGAGAGATATATAAAAACTTTAGTTCCCGAAACCGTATGATCTTTCCGCCAAAGTGCCCAAACAGTGTAGAAACTCTATGACATAGGTAAACAAGAACACAAAATAAATTTTATGCGCTACACCACTTGTGTTACAAGTAGTATATTAAGTTTGTGTACATGTATGCAACTCTCACAAGGACTTGAGATGGAACGACCTTTTATTATACCGATGCTCTTTGTTTTTTTTTTTTATTGTATGACCCATCCCTTAGCGAATATGCCCTATTCGTGTAATACAATAACGGTCGGAACAAAGTGAGGGGAGTGAACAAATAAGGAAAAGGCCGCAGCCTTAGTAGTTGAGCGCCTTTACCGACTAAGACCTCACTATAATCACAACAAAAATAAAAGAACTCAGGTTGTCTATTCGTCTATCCGTCTATCTGCATTTTCGTCGGCCTACGAGCTCAATTTTCAAGATATGTTGGTCCGCTTTGGTCCGCTAACCTGTTTTAGACGAAAGACAAGCACTTTTGACAATGGTTCGGATCAAGCCAAATTTTCATTCACATTCCATATAAAACGTGATTTGAAATATCATCCAATTATCTGCATTTAGCGAAACTTAATGGTGGACCGCGTCTATTTTTAGGGTTTTTACTTCTTATTAAATATTTTACATTTTAAATTTGTGTAATTTACGCTACAGATCCATGCATTTTTATGCATGTATTAATAAAATAATTTGAATGTGAAAGAAGTTTATTTCAAGCGAATTTTAAACAACTTCCGCTTAACTTGTTTTCATGTCAGAGTGTAATCTATCAATCGATAATTAATAAGGTAATGAAGTAATGAAATAAAAAATGTAAAAAGTTTCTTAGAATTATATTAAGGCCCTCCGCTAACCGTAGCCACCGAAACCGAAAAGCATCCGCCTTCATATCGTTATATCTTAATTGTATATGTATAGTCAGTGTTCTGCTCTTGATCTCGTTGTTTTCGCATGTAATCACGCATCAGAGTAGACAGCCAAACACAGAGGCAATACATGCATTTTCTTTTTAAGGGCACAAAATACAAGAAAAAAAAAAAATAAACATAATAATGTTAACTATTTCGATAACGAGATCATTAGAATACCATTAGTTGTTCGATTCATTTTTTTTTTTTCTCTTCAAACAGATACTTGATCGTTACTATTAGTCATTTTGTAAAAATTATAAGAAAATATTTTTGCGGTTAAAATATATTTTTACGTATTTTTTTTTTTTTTTTTTTTGTTTGCTTTTTTCTTCCCTTCCAGATTTGCGGTTAACATATAGGATTATAATATGCGAAGTCCGAGTTGAGGGCATCACCATTAAAACATAATGCAACACATTGAACATAACCACAAATATCGAATTCAGTCAAATATGCTGCACCTTATTACTGTTGTTTTTTTAAAGTTTTCAAATTAAATTTAATTTAACAAAAATCGATTACAAAACAAAAGAAAAATGCACCAAATACCGATAAAAATTAACTGACTGTTACCTGCGCACACCCGGTAAAAAATTGACCGGATTTCAAAAAAAAAAAAAAAAAAGGCTAACAAATGAATGGAAAACAAAATTTAAATTCAGTAAGTAAAAAAAAACACACACAAGCATACATTCATACATATAGTGTGTATATTGTATAATTGCAGTTTGGCAGACGACAATTAGAAATGTAAAGTAGAGCAAAAGATGACAAAGAACAGACCTAAGAAGAAGAAGAAGAAGAAGAACAGACATAAAGAACACTCGAAACGAGCAAAGAATTTTAAAAAACCAAAAACAAAAAAATCAAAACCAACAAAACAAGGTGTGAAAGGTAGGCCAGGCTACGTAGCCGCCTCGTTTAAATTCGCCTCGGAAATAAGTTTAACATGAAGTAAATGCAGACGACAAGAATAAGAAGAGAAGACATCACAGACTTACACAGGCCTCCTTATCGACGTAAGCATAAGTAATGAACTAATATGCTAATGTCTGCTATGTATTAATGCGTGTGTGTATGCTACGATATGTTAAGGTTGAATACTTTTCAGTTTAATAACAAAGCCATGTGTGTTTGCCATTTCCTAAATTTCCTAAATCAGTAAAAAATAAGTAAAAACACTCTAACGGACTGCAGCCAATCATTACATACCCTACGCTTATTAATATAACGACTCTTCATGACAAGGCATTATGTGAGAAGTGATCGGAACCATCTTAAAGAGCGTTCGTCCTTGGACAAGTCAACCAAATTTCATCCAAATATCTCAAATATTTCGGGCTATAGAGTGAATGTAACAAAATGACAGACGGACAGACAGACAAACAGAAATTTAAAATCACTTGACGAATTTGTCGGTATAATTAAAAATGGTTTATCTCAAGTTTTTCTGAGCGTTGCAAGCATCCGCATCAATTTAATATGCCCTTGTGCCTCAAGCTGCGTACGGTATAATAAAAAATGTTGTACCCTAGCTTTTTACTTTCGAAATTAGTCAGCCTGAGATAAATGTTGTTTGTCGAACAAGTCCCACACATATATATTTTCCTACGATCTAAATTTCCTAACCCAGTAAAAAAGTAAGTAAAACCACTATAATGGGTAGCAACCAATCAATAAACAGCCTACACTAGCCTACGATTATTAAAATAATGACTTCTCAAAACAACGCGAACTAAGAAATGATCATAAAAATGGTCCGATCTTAACTATTTTCAGTAGCGTTCATCTTTGGACGAAAATACATTGGTATATCAAATTTCATCAAAAT